AAATCTCTTGGGATTGTTCGGAAAATTCTGAAATTATTCGATTTTTTGTTTGGAAAATCGATACATTTATTGAATGAATGCGTTTTTTATACGATAATTTTCAATCAAAAATTTTTCTATTTTTTACATCCCGAACAAACATCGTTATGAAAACAGTACAAACGTAAACCCTGTTCTGAGAATCGACTCCGTTCCGAACATTTTTTTGGACAATGCCTACAATAATTGTATAAACTATTTTTATAGAGTATTATGACGATAACAAAATTTCGACCGCATCATGTGATTTGTCGATTAAAATCGAATGATTTTGGTATCATTTGATTTGTCTCATTGAGCTCGATTGATATAAAAACTATTCGATTCTAATTACTAGATCCCGAGATACGTATGTTATTGCGATTTGCAAAAAGGTGTGACCTCTGTCAGCCATGTAAAATCACGGGAAACACTGATTTTCCGATTTTAAGAGAACCTTACAAATTTCAACGGAATATGTAGAAATATGACTAATCAATATCATAGACAATCTAGAATTCGGAAATTTTCATCGACCATCATCGCAAAAATCATGGGGTCACACCTTTTTGAAACCGCAATAATCTAAAGTTTCATTAAAAAAATAAATTTTTTTGTGCTAGAAGGTATTGTGACGAATCGTAAATATCTCATGATCCTGCGATCAGAATTCAGCGATTTTTATGTCAATCGATTCCTCTTATCGGGAGGAATCTAATGGTGTAAAAATAATTGGATTATGATTACAGGGTCACGAGACATTCATGATTACCCTTTTTATATAGTCAAAAACGAATATCTCGTGGCTCGGTGATCCAAATTGTAATTTTTTTTATTGCGATTTGCAAAATTCGGATCCTATTGGTTGTGATGAAGATAAACGCTTCTATTACATCAAAAACCCTTTGAGGTTGAGTTCTGATCTATTATTTTAGAGATTGGGTTAGAACTTATCCTCAAAAGGTAATTTGGCGCTCTTACAAGTAATAGAAGTATTTACTGCACCACACCCGATTGGTATTGTAGCGCAGTAAAAATTTCTATTACATGTAAGAGCACCAAATGACCTTTCTGAGAATAAGTCCTAATCAATCCTCTAAAAATCGAACAGAACTCAACCTCAAAGGATTTTTTGATGTAATAGAAGCGTATATCTTCTTCATAATCACAATCGATTCGATCAATGGGATCCAAAAGATCCAAAATTTTGCAAATCGCAATAAATCACAGTTTGGACTTAAGTTAAAACGTCAAAGCGAAAATAACAAAGTACATATATTTATAGGAAAAATAATCAATGGATATGTTGCTAAGAACTGGGCCTCATATTGGATAATGATATTTGAATTATCGATCATTACAGCTGTTTTCATAATTCCTGATAGAATTTGCCGAATAATTTTTGACCGATCGTTATTGATTTCAGCATACAAGTAACTCCCGATATAAGAAACCTTCGATATAAGAAACTCTCTACATAAGAAAGATTTTGCAAATCCCAATTAAAAATTTTATAATAAAAAGCTTTTTATATAAGAAAATCTCGATATAAGAAAGGATTTGACTGGACCTGGCAACTTCCTTATATCAAGGTTCACTTGTAATAAATTCAATAAAATTGATATACGTATACGTAAAAAAAATCAGGTGACTAATATAATTATTATAAGGCTATATACAAACTAATATCTGATTGAAAGCATCTTCGCTGGCAAATAATTGAAAAAAAATTTTAGAAGGCTTATCATTTCGAAAATTACTAGACACTTAGATGTTAGCATATTTTTAAAACAGCCGACACATTTTTGACATATTTAATTTTTTTAATATTAGCGCCTATTCATGAAATATGGTTATTATAAAAGTTTATTTTATATCCGGTATCTTTTTTATATTTCTTGCCAAGATTTATTGGTTGACAAGAACAACTTTTTCCATAAACATTCGCACAAACTAAACACACCAAACATGTTGGCCAAGTATTCAAACGAAAGTTTTTGAATGTGTCGACATTTAATTCTGTAAAAAAAAAAAAAGGCGATTTAAGCTATTTAACGGCATTAGATTTATTTTTCGGTTTCGGGCCCAGCAAAGCCCGGCCCGACCTGACCCATTCGACCATAAAAAGAGACATAAAAATTGAAATTCTTTTATTGCTAACCCGTTCACGGAATATTAATTATGAGAACTTCTTTGGGTAAGAGTGACTTATACTTTCACCATAATTGGATTCTGTGCGTAGATCTTACAGATATAAAATATATTGAATACGTATAATACTGTAATAGACATATATATTTACTGTATTTATCTAGAATGGCTGACGATGCTCGCTTGATTGATTAGTTGACCAAATGTTCAGAAAATGGATTGTTATGAAATTCATTATTAGAATTGCAGATTTTCATTTGGCAACACTCATCTTCATATTTTAACTAGCTACTTTTATTATTAACATCTGGGCACTGTTAGAAAAGCCCGGATAATTAGATCCAGCGTGTCAATTGGACTAATTGGACATAGTCCAGTAAGTCTATTTAGTCCAATTGACAACACTGCAAATTGGATCATTGAATTAGACTTCTGAGGACGATCTCAATCCAGATCCCACAGATTATAGGTAGTTTTTTATCGCTCCTGCCCTACACGATAATAGATTAAGATCACAGTTCATGATAAAGGTAAAGTATTATTATAGAATTGGAAATAAAAAAAAAAAAAACTGGTAAAAGATCATTTTTAAAAAAAATGTGAGCGATCTTACCAAATTAAAGTCGGTATGATTTTTTTTTTCATTTACAATTAAACTAACCATATTAAAGTCGGTATGATTTTTTCATTTACAATTAAACTAACCATACGTATTAATATGTTAAAAATTGAATTTTTTTTAAGAAATCATTCTTAATTAACACAAAATATAAGGATCGACATTTTCACCGAACTTTAAGAGACTTATTTCATTAACTTGGGAATTTAGAGTTTGAAAATCTTTAGATTTAAGCTCTGTCAATTAGGATTATCATGAACAAACACATCATTATTTTATTAATTAAACAATATGTTTTAGGTCACTCATATGCCTTCAATAGGGTTATCCGAATTTAGTAAAAAATTAGTAATAAAATTATAATACGTACCTTTCTTTTTCTCTTCCTTGGTAAATGGTTTGAATTTATGATTCCGATATGTCTTCAGAAATATGCGAGTTGCGTAGATTTTTCAAAATATGTACTCAAATATTTGAATTTATCAGTAATAAAACGAATATTTCATCTTTGTTTCTTTATGTAGATGGACATATACTATTAGTGATTGTGAAGGAGGAACTTATCTAAGTATTATGATCTGCGGAACAATAATAAATGGATTACTAGCCTTGATAGTATTTTTATTATTATGTCAGAAGTTTAAAATGAAGATATCTTTAAATAGTCAGGGTAAAAATTTCCTGTCGCTAATGGAAATAATGATGATTTGGTCGTTATTATGTTTTATGTGTAAGTAAGTGAATAGATTTTATATAAAATATTATCATACCAATAATACACTAATATTGAATTTATTTCACATTTTTAGTGCGTACTTTAAATTGTTTAATATTAATATTTGACGTACTTCCTCATATCACACTTTTTCGTGAGTTAATATTTGGAATTTCATGGGTACCTGGATTCATCTCACTGTATTGGTATTTATATGGAGTCATTAACATGATCCCAAAGATAAGTTTTGACAGTGATTCAGTAAATTCTAAAAAACACCTTTTTAGAACAATTTGGGTTCCAAGTGAAAAACAGGTTATAATATTTACATGGATAGCAATAATTTTCACCACAATATGTATAACAATTCCATCGATATTTGCAGATAGTTATCGCCAAGATAATAATATATTGAGTTATGCCAGAAGAATGCAAATTATATTTTTGTGGGCAACTTGTCTATTTGTTTGGATTCTAATTATGTATTATGGTAGAGCCGTAGTGGTTCTAACAAAAGAGAGTCTAAGATTAATAGGTGTTGACGATGTACTATGGATGAAAATACGAACGAGAGAAAGATTATATACAAAAAAAAGGTTTAATGCAAATATCAAAAAGGTTTGGTTTTAATGGCTACTTTCATTTGCTTGAATTTTTTTTTTTTCAAATATATATATATTTATATATTTATATATTTAGATGCAAGCTTACTATTGGGTGTGTGGGGTGGTTTTTACGTTTTGGTCAATAGTACTTATTGCACCAATAATAGATTACAAAAGTATATCGACGCACTATGTTATCACGATAATTTACTGTTTCTTCTGCAATGATGTGACACCCTTTTTTTTCGGATTTCTGATATACACAGTTATTAAGTATGTATATATTGTTTTTAATTCATTTGAATGTTACCCAAGTTAAGCCTGTGATAATTTAAATTTACACTGTACTTGACGTTATGGTTCTACCACAAAATTTCGATAACCATTTTCACTAAATTGGCCAGCATTATAACTAATGCCGGCTAACTTTGTCAGTATTAGGTCCTTTCGGGAGTCTGTCTTTCGGGATTTTGTGGTAAAACCGACGTTATATATAATTGAGGCACGTTACGATCAGTGTTTTAATTGTTTCGATAGTATTTGTCACTTTTGAAAATATTTTATGGTATGTTCCATTATATGTTTTTATATTCCAAAAACGACTGATACACAGATCGTACTACGTACGTACGTACGTACAGTACGTAACAGGTAAGTATAGAGGTTAAATTTGCACTACCAGTATGGGTTTAACTTGGTGGCGCTCATTTATTACATTCATATACCGTAATAACTACCACAAAAATCTCATTCCTTGCCTTAAATCGCAGAGAAACTTTACCAAATACACCAAGTACGTAAAGAATATAATCACTAAAATAAGGTTCATATATCTTATAAACTTAATCACCTTTTTTATTTATCAGTTAACGCAGCTAGCATGAATTACAGTATGCAACTTAGTATTCGGATTTCAAGCGAAAACGAAAGCCATTATCGACAATCAAATACTGTCGATTTAAAACATAACAGCATAAATACATGCAGTTCAAATTGCCATAGTTTAAATAGTCTTGAAATAGATAGTCTACATTCACAGCCAGGATCTGATAAACATAGTAGCACTGATCCTAGCGATACTACCATTCATAATCTTGTTAATTGAGCTACGAGTAAAGATCATTTGAACCCGAAATATTTCTAGTGTAAAAATTTAAATAATAATAATAATAATAATAATGTAATAATATTAATAAATATATAAGTATATTACTTTTTGCGTAACATGTAAAAAAACGATTCGATCATTTCTAATTTTAGATACGTACGTTAAAACGCGTTTCTTAAAAAAAAAAATACAATTCAGAAATATAATTTTTTTTTCTAAGCAAACAATATGTATATAATATAATACCTTTTTCTAAAAAATATAATAAAATAAATAAAATAAAATTCACAAATTATAATTGTTTATCTACCCTCATAAAAACTCATAATTTTAAGATAGGGGTTTTTTTAAAAAAATATAAATTATATATAGTTAATTATATTAAATTAAAACATTGTTTTAAAATAATTCCAAGCCTTATTGGTAAAATATAGTCATTAATGAAGAATTATTGTTATATGGGTCATAATGTGATCTTAAAGGATACATATACCGTATAGTTCCGAAATTAAGCACCCTTTTTTTGTTATAAGAGGTGCTTATTTTCGGATATAATTTTAAGAA